CTTTTTAGTGGGTACATCTTCAACCCAATAAATTTACTTGACATTTATGTTTTTTAGCGAAGTATATTTAGCATTTTTATGTTAAATTTACCTATATCCTAAAAAAAATAATAAATAAATAACGTATCCCCAGCGTGTCCGTGTCCTAGTTTTTTAGAAACTGACGTATCGCCGTGTCCTGTCGTGTCCGTGTCCGTGCCCCATGTCCGTGTCCGTGCCCCGTGTCCGTGTCCGTGCTTCTTGGGTTTTCGGCAATTTGGAAGTTTTAAGAGAGTAAATATTCTTATCTGGAATATGTCAAAAACCAGCCTAAACACAGCTGAAGTTTTGCAAAAGAAGCTTCCTCATTCCTTTCCAACGGCATCAGTTTGCTTAATGTGTTGTGGATCCAGAGGTACAGAACCATTTATTTTTTGGTTGCCCCTTGCTATGGCTCGTTGGTTCCATCTATTCTAAATGTTTAATTTAAGTGGGTCTTCTCAAACGATTCAAGAAGCAATTTTCTTCATCTCCTATAAGGTCCTTCTTTACTTTCTGGATCCCATTTGATATAGGTTAATGCAATCAAAGCCATCATCTCCGACATTTGATTTGGGCATAATCTAAGTGTTTTTTAGAATAAGCAGCAATGTTGGTTGGAGCAATTTGATATCTCTAGATTCCAAGTTTCTCAATGGTGTTCTCTTCCTAAATTATTAGTCGATTTCTCTGTCCAAGACATTTGTATTAGGGAGCTGTTATTGGCCCTAGTTAGCTTTTCCTTTGGGAGTTTGTTTGTTTGAATATTTGTTTCTTTTCAGCACATCAACGAAAGGTCTCATTTCTTGTTTTAAAAAAATAACAGCGAATATCAAATAACATACAAATGAACATATACTTACTGTATCGCCTTTCTGTATATACCAATGAAGCCTATCAACAATCTGCATTACAGAAGATATTTTTAGTGTGTACAAGGACTCTCTGAGAGGAAAAATAATGAGTACTAGAAAAAGACATAAAACGAAAAACGGGAAAAACAAAGGAACAAAACTAAAAAGTATTCCATTGGGGGCTGAACAAACAAAATAACTGACTTCTAATTGTCAAATTCCTTCGCACATTGATAGGAAACACAAATTTAAGCCTTCTCTAAGAACTCCTTTAAAGTAAGAGCGGAGAATTTCTTGGACTGCTGAGTTCATTTCTCTTGGTGTTGAAGGTTGTTAGAACTTAGAAGAAAACACCAGGATCCTATGATTGATATCATAATGAACTATGAATGGAAAGACATTTCAAGGATCGTATGATTGATATCCATCTTATGCAGGAATACTGCCGTGAAATGTGGAAAAACATTCAAGGGAACCAAGAATGGATAAATGGTTAACAGGAGACGTGTATTGGGAATGTATGAGAAATGAAATCAAAGAATTTGTATCCAAGTGCCCAGTCAGCCAACACAATAAGTCATTTATGTGCTTATGGAAATATGGACAATTTTCCACTGAACCTAATGCATTATGGAGATAAGTAGGGGCAAGTATTTATGGAACTGGCTGTTTTAATTGATCTGTTAATGACAGAAAATTTGGTCGCGCTCGCTGTCCATGGTTTAATATTAATACATATTGGAAACTGGTGGAAAAGTACTACTCTTTCAAAGTTGGAAATGGGAAACGAGTTCTCTTTTGGCATCATGTATGGTTGGGAGACTCAGCCTTAAAGACTCGATTTCCTTTGCTGTTTCGAGTCTCGTCTACCCCTCTTATTACTGTTTTTGAAGCGTGGGATCAAAATACTGCATCTTGGAAGATTGAAATCAGTTGACAGTTGAAGGATAATGAATCTGAGGAGTTTATGGCCTTGATTTCCAGTCTGAAATTGTTTTCTATCAAGGATGAAGAAGATCAGAAAGGCTGGTTGTTGGATTCTTCTAAAAACATTTCGGTAAAATTGTTGTGCAAGCCAGCTGATTCCTCTTCTCTTTTGCCAAAAGAGTATGTAGCTGCACTTTGGAAATCCAAAAGTCCATAGAAAGGTAATGTTAATACGAGGAGGTTCTTCAGAAAAAAAGCTTCCTTCAATGGTCATCCATCCATCTATTTCCATCTTTTATGCTAATTCTTGTGAAACTCAGCAGCATATCTTCTTTCATTGCCCTTATGCGGCGGCTTGTTGGAAGCTCTTATTCGAGATTTTTAATGTTTTGTGGACTCATGCTAGATGTCATGACAAACGTAAATTCTTTACTGTTTGGTCCAGTTTTAGACCCTAAGCAAATCTTCTTTGGTGCAATGGAGTTAAGGCCTTGTTGTTCAATTTATGGGCTCAAAGGAATCAAAGGATCTTCAAAGGGAAATGTATTTCTTCGGGAGAAAGCTTCACCCTTGCCAAATTCAAGGTCTCACAATGGTGTCCTCTTTCTAATTTGTTTAGGAGAATGGAGTTTGTATATTTTTTAACATTTTTGTTCATTTTCATAAATCAATGAAAACTTCGTTTCTTGTTAAAAAACTAATAATAAAGAAAGAAAGAACCGATTGTAAGAGAGGGCAGTTTTTTCTTTTGTTGGGAAGTTAAAAGAACAGTGTCAGACCTCTTAAGATTGTGATACCCTTTAAATTCAAGTAAATGGTAAATTCTGGTTCTTGTGCTATATGTCGCCGGGAGTTCTAGTTTGTAGTACACATCGTGCTTAAACAATGGATTGCTGATGTTCTGCGGCCAAGACTATCTAATTGGTACCTAACATCTTTCTTTTTTTTAATAGGAAACAATAGGTACCTAACATCTCCTTGAGTAAGAAAAATCATGGCAAGAAAAAACAATATAACAAGTGTCATGACCATGCTTTCACAATCAAAGATGAAACTACCGAAGTAAAATATTTGTCAGACCACAGAACAACTTTGCTGCCAAAATAATAATAATACCTCCTGAAGTTTCTCCACTTTGGTAAAATGGCGGCCAAAGGAGGAGTAGCGCATGCCATTAAGAAATGGTGCAAGATATACTCTCAGTTTGTTCTACAGCAAAGGAATTCATAGAGTCAATAAAGGATAAAAATTAAAAAGTCTCAATACAAGCAAGAATCAGTTGTTCGAAGGAAACAAAGAATTCAACATGTTGGTAACATAACATATGGTGACCCAAACAAATAACATTATGATGAAATAGAAAAGTTCAAAAGAACAACCTCGACAAGCCACAAACATTTAGTATTAAAAATAATAAATAAACTAAATTCCTTTCAAAATAAAAAATGACGTTTATGCCTTACAAAGACAACATCACTTCCAATAATAAGTTGAAAAAGACACAAATATGGTCTCCTTTCTGAAAGGGAAAAAAATCATAGAATTACATAAATCTTTTGATGGTATAAATTCATCTGCTAAAGAAAAATAACAACCAAGAAATATACAATGTGCTACAACAAATAACCAACACAATGACCAACACAATGAAGAGTTAGTTTCTTGTTAAAAAGAAAACAAATAACCAACACAATGACATAGAAGTAAGATTTTTTAGGACTAGGACCTATTCATTTTATGGAGTGGGCATGAATGTTCATTTATTTTTTTATATGAAAATAAATGTTCACTTATTGTTCCTTTTCGCGCTTTGGTGGGCTGTTTCTTATTCTCCTCAAGAGAGGTTCTAGACTTTTACTGGTCACTTTTCACAATTTCAAATGAAAAGTTCTATTTCCTTTTCAAAACATTGTAAGGACCTTAGTAATGCAAGACCTCCGTATCATATATATGCATAAAGTAGTTCAGGATTTCAGGAACACAAAATAACAGTAAGTAAAAGACCGTGCTACCTCAAGTAATTGGTCAAAGCAGTTGACAACTTAGAACCTAAAAGAATTGCTTTGAAACAGTGCAATAAGAAATTGTGAGCACCTTCCACTTAAATATTTGATTAAGAACTTCAGGTTCACAAACAGCTTCTGCATCCTCAATGCTACATCCTTCCTCGAGCTTGCGTAGAGCAGCTCGAACAGCCTAACAAACAACACAGTATACCGGGGATAAGTAAATGCGTGATCTCTTTAAGGGTACATCAAATTAATGATTTTTGCACCTCAACAGAGCCTTCCAACTTCCCCATCGTGATTATCTTGTCCACGGTATGTTTTAAAGAGCATGCATGAGTAGAAGATGGAAGTTTGTGCTTCTGTATTACGTCCTCCAAAGTAATTGAAGATGCAACACTTTTCATCAAGTCCATTAGCCTAGGTCACAAGGAAAAATATCTCAAAAACAAATCAGTTTTACAAAATATATCCCTTTTCTTTAAAATAAAATGCATCATAAACCATAGTAAATGTTGGCCACCTCCTCTCCGTATCAGCATCTAATTGAGGCATCTCACTGCTTAACTTCTTTGTCAGAGATTTAGATGCATCAGACTTGCCCAGTTCAATGTTATCCTCCTTAGAAGACTTATTTTGATCAGACCTCTTGGTTGTCGTGCCATACTTGCCAACTAAGGAGGATTTTCTTACTTTGATAGACTTGTCAACATCCATGAGGACAGATTCTGAATTTTGATTCAACGACTTTCTTGAAACATTACCCAATTTCACTTTTCTAGACTCAGAGCCCACCAATGATTTCTCAGTTTCTTTGCCAAGAACCTTCCCTTGAGACAATGACCTTTCAAATGATTTGGTTACTTTTGCAGCAGATTTTCCCTGAAAATCATTCAACAAATTTCCCTTTTTCGATACAACTTTCTCTCTACTCCCAAGAAAATCTATTGTCTTCCCTTTTCTTGCATCACCTGTAGAAATTTTCTTCTGCTGAGTAGGAATCTTACTCTCTTCAAGACCGGGGAATTTAATATGGTCCCTCGCTGGAGTCCCAACTTCTTCATCAATATCATGGTTTCTGGTGAAATTAAAAGAAAAGAACATTAATAGGCTGGCTAATATTGATTAAATGAATAGCAGTAACAGCTAACACCACTCTTACAAGCAATATATCAATATGCGATTAGGTAATAGCCCTTCCCAAGCCCTGGTTGGGATCTCATCATCCTCTGAACCTTCAAAAGCGATCTTCCTAACAAAAGCCACGCATACCTCAACCAGTTAAGCACCAGAAACTTAAAAATTACCCTCAATTCACTATTACACAGATACAAAGGATACCTCGGTAAGCATTTCCTATGATATGATTTAGGGCAACGACGGCAAACAGCAAACTGCAACTCGTGGATTTTCTTGTTTTCACCAAGTTTACAAACAGAGCACTTATGCACAGGACATGAAAAAGATTCTCCAAAAGCAATCTTCTTCTCAAGTTCCTCAGCAGCAACTTTATTCTCCCGATGAAGCAATTTTGAAACACATTTAGGATGGTAAAAATAACCACAAGTTGCATTTACACATTGAAAGACCTAAAAAGCAATGGTAAATCATATTAGATAATAATCAAAGGCAGAGAGATGTCTAAAATTAATGTGCATCAAAAAAGGAGACATGGGCTATTGGCTTGGCGTAATTGACAATGCCAATAAATAAATAAACATTAAAATAAAGAAGATCCAAATACATGCACGAACAGGAAAGAAAGTCAATCCTAAGAATCAAAGACTTGATTGATCATGAAAGGGTCGGTGAAATAATGAATTAAGAAACATGAAAAACCACTACTGTAGAGTTTGAGGAAAAACCTAGGAGCCATTTAAGCTTATTATGATAAATCCATTTAAGTTTATTATGATAAACAACCCACTGCCTGTATTGTGCATGATGCACATAGCAATCATACAGTACATGACGGATACCCATTTTAGTAGTAAAAGGTAGGAGAGTAATCAATTCTCTACCTCCTGAAATATCAAATTGACAATGAGATACTTTTCAGCTATAAAACACGGACACGGCAAAAAAGGAGGAGTGTTTGTGTCGGACACGGATACGTCCGGACACGCTCCGACACGTGTTCGACACGCAATTTAAAGTGTCCGAATATTAAATTTTTTATTTTAATTTCAGACACGTGGGGACACGTTTTGGACATGGGAGGGACACGCCAGATAAAAAAATATTGTTTCCTTAGCCCAATTTTGGAAGTCCAAGAAGTTTGGCTGAAATCTCAAAAACTTAAACTACAAAAAAAAACCCTAAAACGCTACCTAGTGACCCACCCTTCTGTTTGTGTGAGTTAAATTAAATAAGCTCTATTCTTACTTCCTTTTTTCCCTAATTTCATATGAATTAAACTGGAGTAGAATATGTTTTACTAAATTAGGATGACAACTTCGACCCAATAATCAAATTCAAATCCTTCTCTAGGATTTTTTTTAGTGGATTACATTTACTATTTTTATGCTTTTTAGTGGGTACATCTTCAACCCAATAAATTTACTTGACATTTATGTTTTTTAGCGAAGTATATTTAGCATTTTTATGTTAAATTTACCTATATCCTAAAAAAAATAATAAATAAATAACGTATCCCCAGCGTGTCCGTGTCCTAGTTTTTTAGAAATTGACGTATCGCCGTGTCCTGTCGTGTCCGTGTCCGTGCCCCGTGTCCGTGTCCGTGCTTCTTGGCTTTTCAGAAAAGGAGTTTCATTTGAATCTTTAGCAATATTCTCAAATATAAGCAGTGTATGAATAAACTTGAGGATTAGTGTTGAGCCAGAAAATTTGTTGAGTTTTTCTCACAATGACTTAATGAGATACTTTTTGCCAAAGGACTTTAAATTCTAATCATTAGCAAGCTAGAATTATAATTTATACATTAAGGAGGATTTAGCACAAAAACTAGTTGAGTTTTCTGCAACTATGACAATGGTTACATCTCCTTTCTGTATTTCATTTTTATAATGAAATATTTTATCTCCTAGATTAGGGAAGTTAACTTCTCTCAGTTATCAAATCGCCAGGATTTATAGAATATATCTATCTTATCTAAAGAAGAGTATTTGAAAGCCACATCTAAGTCCGATGTACACAGATTGTAATTTACGTTGTTTATGGCATTTCTTGATGTTTCAGAAACGTGGAGTGTTATGGGATCGTGCTATTAAATCTGCAGTGCGGGAGTAGTTCCAAAGGTTGTAAAGAATAAATCTAGATGATGCCACATAGTTAGGAATATTATTAAATTTGCAACCTCTCTCCAAGTTCTTCTTGATGCATTCTTTCTCTTTTGCAATTACAACTTCTGAACTAGTACCAACTGTCAACTGGGGTTGATATCTGACCTCCCTCTTTCTATATGCACCTTTCCGTCTTCCTTTACTTCTTGAAGGTTATCTCATTTATCATCTTAAAAAATATTGTTATGTGATACAATACAACACTTCATGGATTAATTAAAGTTTGGGAGTCTGAACACGTTACATTGGTTTTTAATATCTGGTTCAAATTGGATTAGCAAAAGATTTTATTCTCTCTTAACCATATCCTCCAATATTAAAATTGGACGTACTCTGCGACAAAATAGAACTCAACAAAATCCAAAACATCAATTCAGTTTACATTATAAAGCCATACCTCAGCAACAGAAGACTTATCAGATGAACCCAAATTCCCGCAAGCAAAACACTGGTGCTGTTTATACTCACAATTCTTGCAAATATAAGTTTCAATTGCCTGCCAAAAAGTTCATATATATTCAAGAAAATTAACAAAGAGAGTAGACAAACGTAGAAAATAAAAATAATAAAATATTGTCATACATCTACTTCATCCCTTGAGAGACCAAGAGACAAACATTCATCACCATTCTCTTCGGTTGCATGAAAGGACCTCATGCACCTCCCATCACAGCTGCATGACAACTCACAATCTCATATCAGATACTTAAATAACAATTCCATCGAACTATGATTTTAAGAAAAATGAAACAACGTAGAGTAATTGGCCAACCCCCCCTTTTTTTTGTTAGAAACAATTTCATTGATTAGTGAAATTATAAAAGGGTGGGGAAGTTTAAACCTCACAAACCAAAGGAGTTACAAGAAACCTCAATCATTAAAAGTAGAAAATAATGATCATATGTGGATTATTAAAAAGAGCAGAAAATATATTATTAAAAAATAACCAGGAGAAGAGATACGGGTAGTTGAGAAATATGAAATATTATTTTCTTCACAAGAAAATAAATTATTACAATGGGACACAAAATACATCAAATAAACTATCAATGAACCACTTTGAAGAGAACAAAAATAAATGCACAACTATTTCGTTAAAATAAAGATATATAAGAGATACGGGTAGTTGAGAAATATGAAATATTATTTTCTTCACAAGAATATAAATTATTACAATGGGACACAAAATACATCAAATAAACTATCAATGAACCACTTTGAACAGAACAAAAATAAATGCACAACAGATAATGGATATTTGAATATTTCGTTAAAATAAAGATATATATGTGTATATATAACCCCCTCAAGCTGAAGGAGATGCAAAAACGCTTTCCAATAATGAATAGAGAATAGTTATAAAGTTTAGAAAGGACACTACAAGATGATGCCACAAAATTATATGCCATAAATTTTGTCTAGAGATCTATCAACATCTTGAAAAATCCTATAATTCCCCTTCAACCAAAGCTCTTATAAGGTAGCGCCCACCACCTCAAGCCATAAAATTCTGGCATTGTACCTAAATGGGTGGCCTCTAAGCAAGAGAGAAGAGGAAGTCCTTTACCCCTACTGGAAATACCATGTGAATTTGAAAGCATGGACTACGAGGCCAGAATCTCTACTTGCAAAATGGATTTTATGAGAAACGAGAACTCATGGAGAAATCAACCACCAATGGCCACCTACCTAGGATATTGATATCCAATAAATATATTTGGCAACAAAATGTTTTAAAGTTAAGCAGTTGTCTTGTGAAAGAAGTTGAGGTGCATGCAAACTAAGTCGAACAATCACGAATATCAATTAAAAAAATGGAGAACTTAACCACCAGAATCCTTCCCATCCTGACAAAAAAAGAAAAAACCACACCAAGGTTTTAACATTGTGATTGTTTTAAGGTAATAAGACAAGTTTACACAAAGAAAGGGCCATAAAAGGGGAGTCTAGAAAAGTAGAAGTAGTCAAAATTTTCTTCGTGGTTGAAGATCCTATTGTTCCTCCCAAGCTAAAGGTTCCAAGAAAAAAAGGCACCTATTCAGTGAAGACAAAGTATATTTTTCACCTTGAAAGGATGACCCACAAATATCACATAAGATGTCCCTAAATAGTACCAAGCACCAGCTGAATGTGGATGAGAAAGAGTTCCAGCCTTTGCCAGCATAAGAACAATTGAAATAGGTGAAGCTTTGTGATTCCATGTCTCTCTTGTAGCGAAGACACCATCCTGGGGATAAGAAGAACCATGGGAGCCGCTTTTGCTATCTGATGTAGGGTTTAAGCTTCTGTGGCTAAGTTATCAAAGGAAGAACTTGATTTTCTTTGGATAATAGCCCTTCCAGACAATTCTGTAAAGCAAGAAGCTAACCTGAGAAGAGGTGTTTACTATATCATTGCAAAGAGATCAAACCAAGAAGAAGCCACTTGGCTTCAACAAACAAGCCATTTGTCTTCTGTATTGGAGGGCCGAAAGGGGGAGAGAAAGTGGAAGAGAGAAGCTCACTTCTGTATCTTGTTTCCTCAAAAAGTTTTCATAAGCCAAGGTCCCAGTCAAAGGTTGTGAAGTTCCAAGAATCTTTAATAGATGATGAGATTTTGCTAGTTAAGAAATGAAGCCTCGGGTAGGCTTTTGCTAATGGGCTGAACCAGTCCAAAAGTCTTGCCAAAATGTTGGTAGTGATCCCATCGCGGACTTTAATCCTGATGCTCTCATAGTGAAGGTCCCCGAGTTTGATGACGAGTCACCTAGGGTCCTTTTGGAGGAATGAAGAGAGTATGTTCCGAGCCAGAGATTGAAATGAGTGGTGCCATACTTAGCCACGATGTCGAGGCTTTTAAACTATTCACAGACATCAAGATCTTCAAATAGGCTTCTGATATTCTAGTGAATTGATGCCTGTTGCTGCTGCCTGCTGTAATTAATTGCTCTATAACACTTATGGTGGCCCATGGAAAAAAAGACTTAGGCTCAGTTTGATTTACACGTTTCCATCTAGTCACTGTATTTATTTCTCTGTTTTTAAGTTTATGGTGAAGGTGGCAAAGAAAAATTACAATTCTATGTAACAGTAATGAAGATAGTGAGTAATAATGGATGATGCTACAACCATCGCGATACATGATGTAGACACCAGTCACCAAGTAAGAACGCAAGGGAAACTCAAAACATTTTTTTTAAGAAACGTGTATTATAAACACAATAAAAATAAATAAAAATAAAAAATAAAAGCAGCCTCAAGGCAGGGGATGGGGAAGCCCCTCCCAAAAAAAGCTAATGAATGAAAGCTTTACAAATCATGGATAAGCTGTAATTACAAATAATTTCATGTGTTTTAAGCCACTACAAGGAAGTAGTAAGCTGCACGCTATTTCTAAAAGAATATAATGAGACTTTAACATGATTTCCACGTCCCAATTCATTGACCACTAACTCAACTTCATGGGCAACTCAAAAAATCGTACAAATTTTTTTAAGTTTTTCACTAGATCCATGAGTGTCAAAACCAATTTACACACACTTCAACTAATCTCGTGGGAGAACTATCTGTCGTACCACATTTTATTGTCAAGAAACTCGTAGGATTTTAATACTTTAGGTAGAAGGCTCCCATGAGGTTTGAACCAATTTTTCTGAATTTGAATTTTTCCACATGTCCCAACTCAATGACCACTAACCCAACTAATGGGGTTAACACATTTCATAATATCAACCCAGAATGTTAATCACACTACGAAGAATAACAGAAAAATACATACCATAGAAGATTACCACCATTGTCACAAAATGCACAGACAGAATCAAAGACATCATCATCACTATCCTCTTCAACAGCATCTTCATCTATGTCTTCATCATCTGAATCATCAACAATAAAACTAGACTTCACTGTGCTTTGAACTTCCTGAAAGTATGAGTAGAAAATGAGCAAACTGAAAAGTCCTCGCGGGCATGCACTTGTGCAGCAAAAATGCATTACCTCATGAAATAACCTTCTCTTACCGGGCCTCTCTTCAAGAAATGCAAGTAGAAACTGTTCGGATCACAAATCAAGGTAAGAAGATTAATCATTAAAAATAAATTCTATTAAAACATTCTTATAAAAATAAAATAAAAAAAGAATAATAAATTCTATTAAAACACAGCTCAGACCATAAAGCAAAACTGACTCAGGCCACTGGAGACTGCTATCACCCTACAATGTCTACCAGCGTAAATCAAATAAATGTATAGATCAAAGGAGAATAGTGAAACTGGCAGAAGAATATAGTTTAAATAAATAACGAAGAAAATCAACTCTCTATGGACCAAGACAGATTCATTTGGAGAATGGAACCATCTGGCCTCTTCTCAACCAGCTCCCTTTTATGTGACATGATGAATGGCCCCAAGAATACAGAAGCCCCACTGCTTTATAAATCAATATGGAAAGATCTTTATCCAAAGAAGGTTAAATTTGTTTTATGGGAGGTGAGTCTCAAAGCTATAAAACACACATGAGAATCTCCAAAGGAGGATGCCGTTCATGAGCATCTCCCCTCATTGGTGCGTCCTTTGCAAGCATAGCAATGAATCCCAAGGCCACATATTTGTCTCTTGCAACTATTCCTCAAGGGTGTGGAGTAAAATTCTTTCACTTTTTGGATGGTCCACTGCCTTTGTCTCGAATACAAGCCACCCCATGGCATACACTCTTACAGGCCATCCTTTTGACCATGAGAAAAATCCTCTGGTTGCATTTTGTTCGTGCACTATTTTGGTCTATATGGAAGGAAAGTAATCATAGAACTTTCCAAGACAAGGTCCAATCGATTCACTTTTTTGAGTCTTTAGGTTTCTTGGTCGTTACATGGTGTAAACTTTCCCCTCTTTCATCACTATAGTTTCTTTACAATGTTATCCAATTGGAAAATTTTTTGTGACTCCCTGGATGGGTTCTTCTCTCTATTTTGTAATTTTAATTTCATTTATATCAATGAAATTGTTCTTCTCAAAAAAAAATAATAATAATAGTAGTGAAGAAAATCACAAACCTAAGATGAGATTACTATTTACTCCTCAAATTATTCTTAATGTATCCGATTATTTATTCCATAAGGTAATCATGAATAAGCAGCAACAGAAAGAAGAAAACATGTCCTAGAAAAAAGAGATCAAACAATCTAGATCAAGACCATCCTACATGCACATAGATCAAATTATCCATTTTTGAAGGGTATATTGTTTTTCTTTTATATTTGTGAGTGTCCATGCTAGCTTGCACACACAACACACCTCCCAACCCTCCACATGAAGTCTTTAAAAAAGATCATGTATCTGGCAAAATCTGGTTACCTAGGACAATGTTGAGCCTGAAGCACTTGATTGAAGATGCCCAAAGTGATAAAAGAAAACCTAGTTCAGATGTCCTCTTTATCAATTCTCCTGCCCCTTTAAAAAAGATATTTTGAGGATGGAAGTGACCATAACCTTCAAATGTAGCGAGTTGGCTGTCTATCACCAACAAATTTGTAATTACCCGAATTTTTCTTCACCTACTTAGAAATTATTTTTGTAAGTTTTTTAGTTGCTGTGCTTTCGGACTAGGGAAGGTATCAAATGCTCCCTCCCCTGCCCTTTTGTTTCTTCTTCACATCAATACAAACTTTTTTATCCAATAAAATAAACAAACAAAATCTAATCATGCTAAGCACAAAAAGCAAACTGAACCTGGGACTTTGCCAATATATCATCCCTTTTAACAGCTTCACTGATTAGAGGCATGTGATCCACCAAATCATTCTGTGAAGGCCTCACCTCATATAAGCTGCAAAAATGAATGGCTTAAAAATGACAAATAAAAATCCATCAAACTGAGATGAAATGGGCTCATGAAGAAGAATACCTGAAAATTTTGGCTAAGTGATCCCACAATGTTTTGCTAGGTGTATCTGGATTTCTCTTCAAAACATGAAGGAATTGTACTGTGATCAATATGGTTCTAATGGTGTCCTCAAAGCTCTTTCTAGGCTTCAGAAGCTTAATCCACGTGTTTTCTTTGGAAAGCACTGATATCTCTGGCTTTATACAGCAAATATCAAACCTCCAGGCAGTTACTTGTTTATAAACCTTTTGAAGTCCATCATCGGCAGTTCCATGCAGGAAAATCGGTTCTTGACTGCCATCCAATGTCTCCACTTCACCCCATTGAATCGGCAAAATGGAGAACGAAACCGGTTCTTCCTTGTGATCCACGAAATGATAATTTGAGACAGTCAGTGGCAAGGCCTCAGCCTCGTCATCTGAAGACGCCATTACTCTATTGAAGTTCCAGTTCTGTCACTTAACAACCAAATTGAAAGAGTGAAATAAAAACCATGCTTCAAATGCACCACCTTCAAGACCAGAGGATACTTATTTTCTAATTTAAACTAGAACAATCACCAGTACATTAAATGAAAACCTCTGACGATTGTTACATTTTCCAAAACAGAATGGCGAATTCAAAAAAGGTAATTGACAGAGACGAAGAAGTACCAATACGGCTTTTCGTTGAGACTCAATCCCGATACAGAGAAACTACGAACAATTCAGAGAAGTTGGCAGCAAAACTAGGAACGAATGAACGGAAATCTAAGGCCGGCGGAACCCACAGCGGAAGCTAACAGTCAGTTTAAGGAGAAGCATCGGATTCCGGCAGCCGTCCGGCAGCCGTTCGGCAGAATCACCGGCGAAAATTAATGCAGGATAAAATCAGTGCGCGACGCAATCGGCAGAGAGAAGAGAGCAACAATGGAAAAAAAAAAAGAGTAGAAACTGAATCAATGGGTAGTTGTAATTTGTAATTCGATTTTCTGCAAAAATAACCTTCAAAAGTGTATAATCCCAAAAAGAAGAATTTTAGTCCTTTTGTGACGTGAATTAACAATTTTACCCTCGTATTTAAAGATACTAGAGAGAAAATTGTAACCTATGTTTTTATATATTTTTTTTTTAAATCTTAGCCAATTTTATAAAAAACAAAGCATGGGTTTTGAGAGAAATTGTAAGTCTTAAGAAATTAAATGTAAGTCTCAGTTAGATTTAATTGATATGCACTCATTTGTAAGTCTCAGTTATGATTCATATCATATTTGACTAATACTTTATGAATCTCGCAAGAATTAAACATAATTTGATTTATTAAGGTGGTATCCAATTTCATATGAATCTTGGTCGGATCAGAATTTTGTATATCTCAAAGTCAATAAAAAGCTAAGCATAGTTAAAGTTTTAAGAAATTAAATCACTAAGCCACGCAAGGCAAGTAAATTGTCACGAGTCTGTGACATCTTCCCCACACGCTCGCCTGACAAGAGTGTGCTCAATTCCATTCGCGCTCCTAAGAACATGACATAATATTCCAATGAAAGAAGATAAAGCCTCCTTTCTGATGTCGTCGTCGATCAAGTAAGTTTTTGTGATTGTGATGTATGAAGTTGTGTCATTGATGATGTTAATAATCTCCAAGTAATATGATTCCTGATCCAACCCCATGATTGATAGCTTGGATTTCACCCAGCATTTTGATTCCTTCCAAAATATCTAGTCCTTCAAGTGTTTTAATTAGACATTCCCTCTATAAGTGTTGACAATCAACTACAATGAATTGTCCGTTCAAGTTCTGCACAGCCAATACCCCTGTCTTCACTGTGTCTATCTAGGTTGTATTCAACACGTTGATATGTTTTTCTTGATATAGTTGTAGAAATTTAATTTCTAAATAGTATAAAAATCTTGGATCAACGTTGAATTAGATTTTGAAAAAAATAATAATAAGAAAAGTATCTTTTGTAAAATCTCAATTGATGGTCCATGAGACTTTTATTGCTACAGCTCAAACTAACCAAGATTGGCTGAAACTCTTCGAATGGGAAGACTTTTCTCTAAGGTTTAGGAAAAAAATGTTGACAGAATTTGTTATACAATGTGTGATTTTAGCTTACTCTAGGATGAGCTTAGGCTAACATCTTTAATTTTTATATTTTTAATATTTCGTATATTAAAAGATTAAAATTATCTGAGTTTCATTAAAATATCGTAAATAAAATAAAGTATTTATCCTTAATGTATCAAATATAATAATTTTTTATACCGTGTCTAATTTAATGTACTATCTAATAAATTAAATATTAATTTTAATTTGGCTTTCAATTTAACTGATCTAGAATTGATATTGTGAGTCAGGAGGGGACTTCATGGAGGTACAGTCTAATGATACAGAACTAATCACTTAACCCACTTAATTAATTAATTTTCACTAGTTTAACATAATAACACAATATTACTCTGACTTTTTTTAATAATATTTTATTTTAAACCTATTCCAAATGTATATCATCCATCAAACTACTTTCAAGAAAACTGAAAATCAACCTATATCATTTCATGCTTTTCCAATTGCATGACGTCATGATCTTTAACAAAAATTATGACATGTTGTCTTTTGAAGAGATGACATATGCCAAAATTACAGATAATTATTAGTCTACTATAGTGGTTGTACGAATATTTTTTAATCTAGAGGTCTTAGGATGAAGTCTCCTCTGAACGATCTCTTCAATTTTCTAAGCATTATTATGAAAATAATATTGATTCAATTGCAAGTACGTATAAATTGAATTTTTCCAATTCTGGAGAAAAGGTCCCATCTTCATCTTGTCCCGTTTCAATTCCCTTATGAACATTCCCAAACTATTTTCACATCCAAACTCCTAAAACTTTTCAAATTTTGAATGCAAATTTTTTTTTTACTGTATTCCCAAATGCCATGCCACCACGAAGAAGATAAAGTTAATAGAAAAAATAAAAAATAAATAAAAGGAGGTATAGGTAGACGACAACACCACGTGGCGCCACGTGATTGGTCTGTCACAGCTCCCACATACCCGGTTGCCGTTACTCGAATTTCTTCCCTGAATGGACCGCTTTGTCATTTTGTCTTTCTACTCACAGAGAGAGAAAGGAAGAAGAAGAAGAAGAGAGAGAGAGACACAGAGAGACACAGAGAGAGAAGCAGAGAGAGAGTTCTTGAGAGAGAGAGAGAGACCGTTAATTTCCGTTAATATATGAAGGAATTTTGAGAGAGAGTTGGGTAAAATGGTTACAGACCAAGAGCTTTCTCAAGCTATTCAATGTCTTCTCCGCGACTCCGCTTCTGCTGCAAACCCTAGCGCTTTCTCCTCGCTTAACGCCGTCGTTCAGGAGCTGGAGACCAAGCTCGGCCTCGACCTGTCTCACAAGGTCGATTTCATCCATGCCCAGATCCAATTCCTCCTCCGTTCTCACCCTTTACATCCTCAACACCACCACCGCCACCACCAACCACCGCCACCACAGCCGCCGCCGCCGCCGCAGAAAGATCTCTTTACCCTTCATCAAACCCCTAATTTCCAATCTGCCCCTTCCCCCACTTCCTCGGCTTTCCATACTTTCACCGCTCAGCCGCCGCCGCCTAAGCCGGACACTGCCGTCGCTCCCACTCTTGCGCCTTCTGACCCGCCCAAGGAAAGGTGGGTTCTCTTTCTTTTCGTCTCTTTTTGGGGTTTCACCCCTTGATTGTTACTTGTTGTTCCTTTTGGGTGTGCGTGAAATTCTTGCTTCTGCCACTGAATCAGTGAAAGAAAGTTTCAGTCTCTTCATTCTTTCGTTTCTGTTTTTCAATGATTACTTCAGCAGTTCAAGGATTAGGGTCAGAAGGCAGTAAAATTGTTCCTTTACTTGTTGTGAATTTTGATACTCTTGGTTAAGGTAGGGGGATTTTGGAGTATAGTTCACTGATTAGTAGGTTTACTCGAAGGTTCAATGTTGTAAATTTTCGATTGGAAGTTGGCGAGTGAGTCCCTGCTTTGTTTTTCCTCTATGTTCAGAAGTTTACTCAGGGTTTCTGGTCATAAACGTGACTTTCTGCTTTTGTCTTGGCTGTTGGAAAAGTAAATTTCCTGTTATGATGTTACGTCAAATGTGTGTACATAGATATCTAGTACGAGCATGTTGGGTTTTCATTTATTTTCTGTTTGTTTCCTTTAAGTGTATTATATGTATATTCTTGTTGCTAGTTTAGAATAACTAGTTGTTAGTCTGGTCAGCAGAGCCATACAACATATATGGACAAAATGTTCTTAGGAATTTGTGTCTTTGGCATTATGCATCAGCACGGAAGCGGGGAGGTAGGGATTTTATTAGATGAGCAATGGAAGCAGTTTAGGTTTACTGGAAATAGATATTGATACAATGCATCTACATGTGATGAGTCTTTCTACCTTGTTTTATCAATATCATAATGACTTTTGACCTTTCAGCAGCATACCCTTGAAAATGACTTACTAGCCTTTGCTAGTACCTTACCAGATGAGAGCCATAAGTATGGCATTTTTTTGTTGTGTACTCTTCTCTTACCTATCCTTGACGCTATCTTGCCAGTAAATATTCTCTAGAGGCATGGAGGAAGAATCTCTCAGTTGGTTTTCAATTTCATGGAAGGGCCATATGTATTATTTACTGTTTTATTCACATATCAAACTAATATATGTTTCTCTAGTTTTGAGAGCCTGAAGATTCATGTTTTGGCCGATAAAATCTCACCTTTACCACTTGATTGCAGTACCCAAACTAAAACTAAGAGAAGAGGAGGCCCGGGGGGTCTAAACAAGCTCTGTGGTGTTTCTCCTGAACTTCAGGCTATTGTTGGGCAACCAGAATTGCCAAGAACTGAGGTTTTTACCCCTTTCTCAGTTCATAATTGTTTGATTCTCAATTTTATTTTCTATGAGGTTCATACGATGTGTCTGTGTTTGGTTCAGATAGTGAAACAGCTATGGGCATACATCAGGAAAAACAACCTACAGGATCCGAGTAACAAAAGGAAAATAATATGCAATGATGAGTTGCGGTTGGTATTTGAAACAGACTGCACCGACATGTTCAAAATGAATAAGTTGCTAGCCAAACACATCATCCCTCTTGAACCTACAAGTAAGTATCCAGTTTTATGCACCCCCGTACCCCCCAGTTATGGAAGAATTAATTGTTTATTTTATAACCCTGTCAGAACCATCAAGTTCTAAGAAGGCGCGAGTGGAGAATGAATCTGGAATTGGTGTAAAAGGTGCAGAATCTAGTATATGTCCTTCTGTGATTATATCCGAAGCTCTTGCAAAATTTTTTGGTGTTGATGGAAGGGAGATGCTCCAAACAGAGGTTCTGAGAAGAATATGGGAGTACATAAAAGTCAATCATCTTGAGGTTGGCAATAAACTATGGAAACTTTCACTTTGTTGAATGCTAACCATTCACCATGCCTTTAATTCTATCCATCATAATATGAGTGTCAAAAAATACTTTCCATGAATCTCCGTTGTACTTTTTGAACTTTTTACTTCAGAATTTTGACTGTCTGTGGCTACCCAACAACATTACCCCGGCTTCATGGTTCTCTGGTTCGTGCATCTATATTTGCATTAGGGTCCTTGATATTTGACTTTTCATTTTTTAGAATGGCCACTTTGTTTTCTCTCATGAAATAAAATCAGATACTGGAACTATTCCTTTCCGAATTTATGTACCTGAGGATTTAAAGAAAAATGCGCTCTCGTTTTATGTAGAGTACTACTGTTTACTTGACAACCAAATTATTTTCAGAATATACATTTTCATTTAGAGTTCAGCTCTTCAACTTGAGACGTCATTTGCCTTTAAAATGCTGCATAGTAATCTTGGGATGTTTTAACCTCCATCATCATTCATTTGCATGATAGATCTTCAATTAATTGACTGATAAGTCGGGTTTTCTTTATAACTCTTAAGTAGATTCTATATCAAACATTATCTAGAATCAAATTGTAATGACTTTTTCTCTACTCGTGTTTTGGGATCTTAAAAACAGGACCCTCTAAACCCAATGGCGGTGTTGTGTGATGCAAAACTCCAAGAACTGTTTGGTTGCGAAAGCATTTCTGCTCTTGGAATCCCAGAAGTTTTAGGCCGCCACCATATATTTAGGAGATCATGATAGCTAATCTACTAGGATGGTTAGTGGATTCTTACTTTCTTATACCATATTACATCTGATATTTAATTTCATTCATACTCTGGAGGAAATTTTCTGTATCTATGTTGTTATAGTTTAACCTTCTCGTTGGCTTCATCATATTCATATGGATGGTCATTTATTTCTTTTGAAGCATATTATTTGATCGATTGAAGTTTCTAGAGTGTTGGAGGCTGCTGATTGATTAACCCATACCTACTTGTGCTATTTATAGAAAATCTAGCTATCAAAAATCCTTGTTGTCTCTCAGGTTTGGACCTTGGGCAGGCGCGCGCCCTTGCATATAGGGGAGCTTACTCCCACTTATCAAAAAAAGAAAAAGAAAAAGAAAATCTAGCTCAAAATTAGGATTTCTTGACTTCTTATACATATAGATCTCTAGTTTATCTAAAATAGTTCTAAAAATATAACAGAACAAATCTGAAACTCTAAAAATACAATGTAGCAATTAGTATTTACCTCTGGTCTGGATGTAATCCTGTACAAAACTTATCCCTTTTGAGTTTATAGATGCCTTATTTGAATGTCTAGAACTTAAGACAGGAAAACGATTTGGAGCTTAGACATTTGATTTGTGCACTCATAGCTTTCTAACCTTTTAGACATTTAATTTGAATTTCAATTGAAATATTGCTTCCTTTTTCCATTTCAAGAAAAGAACCAAAGGATTAGCTTCTTTCTGACTGCTTTTTCTAGCAGTGCCAGCCGTGTTGCATTTTTTACTTTACCTTTAGCTGAAGGACTTGTTTCTTGTCGTCTTCTTTTTCTTTTTCAAAAAGCACCCAAGAATGGACTGGCCAAGAAAACTAATGAGAATGTTGACTCTTGATTGCAGTTGCAGATTGATGGTGTTAGCGACCTATACATAACAGGGCGATGTTTGGAAAAAGTCGATATGGTTTTTTTTTTTTCTTTTAAATGCTGTAATCAGTGATGATAATATTTTGCTTTTGGATCTTATTATATGTTAAGAAGGTAAGGTGTGAACTTGGGGATGTAACAAGATGATGATGATGATGATGATGGGGGCTTGTGGCAGAATTTATTTTGCAATTGCCTGCCTGCCTGCCAAGTCCTTGGGTTTCCATTTGTCTGACTTGGTTATTTAGGTTAGAGTGACCCTGGGAGTTTCTAACATCCATTACACTGCTGATAATGATGGGTAAAATTATGTTATCTACTACTACTCTCTCACTAGTTTGTTAAATATTATGTTTTCTTGTAGTCAATTTTAGCCTTCTACTTTGCTTTCTTCTTTGCATCTGGATCTGGAATATGGTCTGCTGAGACTCTGTTATTTGAAGATTCCTTTTAGTGATAGTATTAGAATGTTGTGTTTAGTTTTTTCTGACAACCTGGAGTCGGAGCAAACCTATGCGGGGTCATCCACTCCCGAGCTTAGGAGACATGAAAGATTTTTCTTGTTAAGCTCGCTCGAATGTTTGAACATGCGACCTGTGGGTTACAGACTTGCAAATGGAGCCGCACCCTTGGAGACAAACATTGTGTTTAGTTGTTCTTTCCTTATCCTTATCATTCTCCTTCTCGCTCTCCCGGGAGTTTGCTTCGTACACATTTCATTTTCGTATTACCAATGAAGGTTGTTTCTTATTTAAAAAAAAAATTTTCCTCCCTTTTAGTGTTCTGACTGGTTTGTAGAATATGGTTCTGGGATATGATTGATTGGTTTTCAAATTTGATAGTTGTTCATATGGAGATGGAGAATCTGCATTTTCTAAATCTTGGTAATTTGTTGATGACAATTTTGTTTTGGATTTTTTTATTTGTTTTTAATTCTTTTAGTGGGATACTCAAAAGAATGCTTTTGAAATTGAAGCTAGAGCAAAGTTCCATTTTTTCTGCTTTTGAAATCTAGTTAATACAAGTTGTCAAAATGTTAACACGTGAGTTCACACTATTACTTTTAAAGTTAAAATTTAGTTTTTTAAATTAATAATTAATTTGTCTTATCTTTTAATTTAATCTTTTGATGGAGGCGTAAAACATTGTAGTAGTGAAAAAGAAATATTAAGCATATGAATTTATAAGTTGAAAATAAAAAAAATATTATAATGTTTATTTGAATTAAACTATTCCCCTTTTTGACTTTCACCACCAAACAAAACATAGACAGTGGGCTTGTGTCTCAACAGTTTTTCCTGCAAATTATCATATTCTAAAGTTTTAATTTTATCTTCGTCACTATAATCCCTAATCTTTGATTAAATATCTTGAAACATGTTAATTATATTCTATTATAGTCCCTATACTTTAGTTAAACAATACCCATTATTCCTATAATCATAACAAGGAGAGGAGAGAGAAAGAAGAGATAAAAATGAAAAAAAAAAAAGAGTCAGATAATCTTAAAATAATATAAAAAAGAATAAATATATAATTCATCAATGCTACGTCAACATTTTGTTAGCAAATAGAAACTTAACAATGGACCAAAAAATTTAAATACTATTTTACCCTCCATACTTTTAACTTTGGTTAATTTTAGTCGTTTTGATCCCTATACTTTTAAAAAAGTGACTATTTTAGTCCATACACAATAGAAATCATGTTAAACTTACAATCTAAAGAAATAAGATAAAAAATGAAAACGAAAGGATAAAAATAATCACTTTTTAAATTGAAAGGAATAAAGTATAATAACTAAACTGAATAGTACAGGATCAAAATATACTATTACTACATTCATGCTACATGCTAGTTTGAACATTTTTTCTTTTAAGTACAATAAATCGGTTGTGTGAAAGTTTGAACCTCCGACCATAAGGAAATGAGTAATGTCAATCACCGCTGATCGGTCCTAGTGAAAATATAATATATAAAGAGATAGAGATTGAAAACCAACCCGTGACTCACAAACAGACTGGTTCTTCACGTGAAACATCTAAAACTTCACAAAACAATCCTCAAAATCCAAACTTTTCCCCACAAAAATCCCTATAAAAGCCCCCCCACCTTCTTCCCAATTCCCATCCATCAAATTTTCAAGCTTCTAACATTCCAATATCATCCATC